AGTCCTGGTGGCACAGTGGTTAAGCACTCAGCTGCTTACTGAAAGGTTGGTGGTTTGAATCCTACCAGCTGCTCTGAGGAAAAAAGATATGGCAGTTTGCTTCCATAAAGATTTACAACCTTAGAAACCCTACTCTGTCCCACATGGTCGCTATGAGCTGGAAGTGACTTCACAGCAGTGGGTGGGCTTTGGTTTTGTCTCAGTACTCATATAATCTATTTGCAAACATTTGTTTAAGCCAATATCCCTTCCTTTCCATTTAATTAAGCAGCAAGACAATGCACTGGATCACAAAGTGAGTTTGAACCACAAGGTCATCAGTTTAAACCACCAGTTGCTCCTCGGAAACCCTATATAGAGTTGCTATGGGTTAGAACTGACTCGAGGGCACTTAATAACACAACAACAACCTTCTGTTTTAGTCAAATGCTGGTTCCATCTTTCTTCTACAACATTCCTGGGACCTCAGCCCAGAATTCATACTGGCCTCTAACAACTTGCTAGACTTATGCCAAATCTCAGTACCACAGAATTCCTGTCCCTCTTCTTACCTGGATGATAAATTTCATGAGCAGGAATCAAATGAATGAATAAATTAAAGGATCAAGTGTAAGCCACAGAACCTAGCACAGAGCTAGGCTTCTCCCCATCACCCAGCACTCACTGAGCCCTCTGTGTCAGTTCCTGTGCCAGTACTTAGATTGGAAGATGACCAAAACCCTGTCGCAGGTTCAGAAACTAATGATCCTGAGGGAAAGAGAGATATGTGGACCTGTGACAATTACTCCAGGTGGAAAGTGTTGCAATAAGGTCACACAAAAGGCACAAGGGAAGAGTGCAATTATTTGTGGAGGAGTCAGGGAGGGCTTCCCAAGAAGTGGTCTTTGGGTGGGTCGTAAAGGGTGATTAGAAGGTAATGGGACAATCAAAGTAGAAATGTGTGGCACAACCTATCATTGTTTGTAGTATCTTGTGTGGGAGGACAGAATGGAACGTCAGTAGGGTCTTGCTGCTAGGTAGAGGGGATCATTCATGGTCCAGGAGTTGGCCCATTTACACTGGGGAAAAAGGAAGGGGCTGGAGGGGGCCAGTTGTAGAGAGCGTTGCCTTTGCAGCACCCACGGGAAGGCTATGGTAGCCCGGTCGGTAAGGGGCTGGAAGTACCACAGCAAGACTGCCTGGTTTGTTTCTGTTTCCCAGGTTTGGAACCTCGGGTCAGGCCTGGGTCATATTCCCCAGTACCTGGCGCATGTCAGGTGCTTAGTCCACGACTGTTGAATAAAAGGATGAATCAATGAATGAAAACATCAGTAGGTGGTGAGGTTGGGGGCGGGACGCAAAGCGGGTGCGGGAACCAGAGCTGCAGCCGGCCTTCAAAGGGCGGGGCGGGGCGCCCTGGACTCACCCTGCGCACAGCGGCGAGGAGTGGCGGCCCCCAACCCCCGGCCCAGCGCGCGGCAGCAGGCCGCCTGAGAGCGGCGCCGGCTCCGTAGCTGGAAGGACACTCGCCGACCCGCCGCTTCGGCCTCGAAGCCCGATACCACCTCGGTCTCCGCCAGCGGGTACACGAAGACGCCTGAGGAAAAGCAGAAAGCAGTGTCGGATCCCACCGGGTAACCGCGCCCCTCATCCCGCGCGCCCGACCAGACCTCACCGTCCACCGGCTGCGATTGTGGGTTGTGGTAGGTGAGCCGGGCCCGCAGGCTGAGGCAGGGCCCGTTGGCACAGGCCCGGACCCAGGAGTCAGTGAGGGGCAGCGGCGTCCAGCTGGAGGGGCAGTATAGACCAGGCATGTTGCCAGGTGACCGGCCCTGGGGAGGGGTGTTAGATGAAGGGGCGTGCCCGGTGACTCCTGGGCGCCCCTACCCACCCTCCGGGTGGGGGTTGGGGAGAGCCAGTTGAAAGAACCTAACTCAGGCCCTAGCCTAGGATGCAGTCTTTAGGGAGCGCAAGGCTGAGCCCGGGGCTCAAGCTTGGCTGACAGGTGGTGGAGAGGGGGAGGCAGAAGTGTGGGGGGAAGTAGGGAGGAGGATGGTGAACTGGGCATCCTCGCCCGTTACCTGGGAAGCCAAGGCAAAGCGCAACTCCGGAGTAGCGCCGGGTCCCGGCAACCGGAGGGTTAATGATTAACCTGCCCTCCCGGCGCCCAGCAGTCCCACCGCCGGTCCCTCTGGGGGCGGGGGAGGGGTGGGAGGGGCTGGGAAGGGTTGGGAGGACTGGCACAGCTGTTCATCACTGGCTCCCCAGCCCCACCGACGCCCCAGTACCTGCTGGCTCCCCGGGGCTCCTTGCGGCTGCCAGCTGTCGGAAGTAGAACTGGTGGAGAGCGAGAAGATGCGCTAGGTTGGGGAGCAAAGGTTTAAAGGGCCCGCATTTTCCTGGGTACCCTTCAACCCAACAAGGGCCGGGCTGGGATGATAAGTCGAAAGGGCCGCAGGCTTTTATTCCCTCCTGTGCCGCATCCAACTAGGACTCGCTGAGCGGCTGCTAGCGGGATCCGAGGGGGTTGGGTTCGGAAGAACGAGATAGGGACATTCGAACCGAGAGAGTCTAGTGGAGGCAAGACCGGGACACTATTGTGATAGGGAATTCATTGAGACCCACCCGTCCAGAGCAGCTCACCCTACCCTGGCAGAGCTGGTCCAGGAATGGGGAACGGCTGCGATCTCCTCCGCCCGCACAGCTAGGGTCCGGGGATGTTGCGGACTGCGTTTTGGGATCTCCCTCCCACCCTCCGCGGGCATCCTTAGCCTCACCGTCGCGTCCTCTCCGAGTTTTGAGCGCCGCGACAGGAACAGGTTGGGTGGTGCCGGCTCTGCGCTTGGGGCCGCGCTGGGTCCAGGCAACCGCTGGGCATTCGCTCTGGACTTCCGCGGTGAACGCTCTGAGTCCCCTCACGGGCGCCAGCCCCACTGGTGCTGATCCCGCCCCGGCTCGGAGAGGCCGCCCCTCCGGCCCGCCTCCGCCCCGCCCGCCGCTGCGGCTGAGCTTACGCTCCCACCTCTGCCTGCGTTGTACTGCCTCCGCGCTAGCCCTGGCCGCGAGAGCCAGACCCGGCACTGCAGTGCAGGACGGAGTCACCGCCGCTTCACAGCCCCCATCATTGCGGGAACTAGGCCTCCTCGGCTCCACCCTTCCTACCTTCAGGAAGAGAGGCGTTCTGCAAGTGCTGCTGAGCTGCTTAGGCTGCAACCCCCAGCAGTGAAACAGCCCCAGCTGTCCCAATATTCCTACCCCCCACCTCCCCACTGCAACTAACTCCACCTTGTTCGTCACCGTGAGACCCCTCCCCCACAAGAAGTCGGTCCCTTTGCCTTGAAGAGTGCTTCTCCATCGCTACAGAATCCCTCACAAGCCTGCAATTACCTTCAGAGTCCGTGGAAACTTCAATAACCACTCACCCTTTGCTTGGATCTCTCAATACTGCAGCGGTCCCCCACCCCACCCCCCAAGGAACAAATCTTCCCATCACTGTAGTGCCACCTCCCTACTTCTGAGAGGGGCAATGCAGGATTCTTACTTCAGGCTATACTCTGCTGGTAACTTCAATTGTCCTGGACTTTAGTAATGAGAGCCTGCGGTCTTATGCAAACTATCCCCATCATAACAGCCCATCAGTGAAAAACTCTCAGGATAAAACAACCCAGCTAGTAACACTGCTTGTTATCGGCAGAATTTTCATGCGGCTTGACAGTGTTGTGTTGCAAAAGGAGTCCTTGCATAGTGCAAGCAGTCTGAACCAAAAGGTTGGTGATTCAACCTACCAAGAAGCACCTTGGAAGACAGGCCTGCAATCTGCTTCCAAATGGTCACCGCCTTGAAAATCCTATGGAGCAATTCTACTCTATACACATGAGATCCACAGGAATCTAAACATACTGGATGTTAACTAAGACTGGTGGTGGAGGTAGAAGTGTGCCACGGAGTTGGTTCCAACTCATAGTGACCCTACACAGGATTTCAGACATTGTAAATCTTTAAGGGAGCAGAAAGCCTTATCTCTCTCCCATTGAATGGATGGTAGTGTTGAACTGCTGACCTTGAGGTTAGCAGCCCAATTCATATCCACGATGCTACCAGAGCTCCTTGTCAACTAAGACTAGCAAAAACAATCCTTCCAATACTCCTGAGGGAGGGTTTGAGAGCCTAGGGAAATGAGGAGAGATGACTACAGTTGAGGGTCACCCATGCAAGCTTCCTTGCAAAGACCACCTCCACATTGAGCAAAGAAAGCTTGAAGAGCACTTCCGGTGGCTGGAGGATGGAAAGGAAGAAGCTATTGGGGAGGGGGCCATCATGCCAAACGGAGGGTCATCAGCCTTCCTTGTTAATTTTATCCTTTTTATCCCATCATCACATTGGTTCGAGAGGATCCTTGTCTCCTTGAATACCTAGGCCTTCAACTCCAGTTTTGTCCCTTGCTCAAACGTCTTAGCATGATGGAAATAATTGGCCTCTCCAAAGGGAACTTCATAGGTAGGAATGTACAAGGATAGTACAGGAAGCGTATCACTCCAGTCACAGGGAGCCCCAGCTGGGTCCCAGCCCTACTCCTCCCTAATAGTCAGAGCCCTGGTTCCATGGAGGCCCTCCTCAGCCTAATTCTAGATGCAGGTCCCTCTCACGACCTGGAGAGAAACAGTGGTTGGTGAGTGGGCACATAGTCTCTTCATATGACCCTGGCACCTAGCTAGGGCCCCGTAGAGGTCCAGGTAGCAGTCATCTCCCGTGTGTATCTTGTGCTCTTCCCCTTTTGCAAATGAACCAAGAGCTACATGTGGTCCTAAGACCAAACATGAGTCCTTGGGGAGCAGTCATCTAAGATTCAAGAACACAGAAATGGAAAAAGAAGTCCTTGTCTTTGGTCCTGAGAAGAATTTGCATGTAAGATAGTCTTCTAGGAAGATGGTGTCCCTCTCAGAGACCAGACACACATTAACAGAAGCCAAACTTTGCTAAGATGCTAGACTAGCTCTGAGATTCTGCTGGGAAGGCTGTTTTAGTTGAGGTAAACCAAGGGAGAGACAGATTAGCACCTGAGTGTAGTTTATCCTGCAGGATGGGGCAGGCCAGTGTACCTAGGGCCAGCAAGAAGGCTCTCTGAGACATAGATGGGAACACTCTGGTGGTGAGTCTGCAAGGAGGCAACAGAGACAACACAGCACAGACCCAGAATACCCAGGAGCCAGGTTCCCAAAGACAGAGCAGATCCTGGGCAGGGCTGAGGGATGTCATCAAGCTTGGCTGGTCTGTCTTGTTCCAGAGACAAGGGAGGGTATAGGGACATGAAAAGGCATAGCCTCTGTCTTGAAGAGGGTCACATTTTAGTGGAAAAGGTGGACATAAGTAGGTACAACAGACTGAGAGAAGTGCTGTATTACAGAGAAGTAGTAGATGTTATAAAAGCTTTTTAAAGGGAGCATTTAGGAGGGGCATGTGATGGTTAAGGGTGTGTGTTAACTTGGCTTGGGGATGACTCTTGATTTAGTAGTTATGATGTAGTTATGTCCCATGATGACAGCTAATATAATATGATCATTTCCATGATTAGATCTGTATAAGCAACCAATCAGTTGATAGGGAGTTTTCTCAGGGGTTGTTGTTGCTGTTGTTAGGTGCCATTGAGTTGGTACCGACCCATAGCAACCTTATGCACAGCAGAACGAAACACTGCCCGATCCTGGGCCAACCTCACCACTATTGTCATACTTGAGTCCATTGATGCTGCCACTTGGTCAATCCATCTTGTTGGGGGTGTTCCTCTTTTTCTCTGTCCCTCCACCTTACCAAACATGATATCCTTCTCCAGCGACTGGTACCTCCTGACAATATGTCCAAAGTATGAGAGACGAAGTTTGGCCATCTTGGCTGGTCTCCAAGGAGCACTCTGGCTGCACTTCTTCCAAAAACGGATCTATTGGTTCTTTTGGCAGCCTATGACACTTTCAATATTTTCCAACACCATACCTCAAAAGCATCAATTCTTCTATGGTCTTCCTTATTCACTGTCCAGCTTTCTCATGCATATGAGGTTATTGAAAATACCATGGCTTAGGTCAGGTGCACCTTAGTCCTTCAGCTGACATCTTTGGTCTTCAACACTTTAAAAAGGTCTTGTGCAGCAGATTTACCCAATGCAATACGTCGTTTGATTTCTTGACTGCT